TCTGGAGTAAAATAAAGAAACAAGCTAAATCATCACATATCTGTGGCATCAAGGAGCAACTTCTGCATTCAAACACAGGGATGGAGCACAATGTTTACAGCTGAACATTATCAGGATGTTTTAACTCACAGAGGCCTGCAGGTCTTCTGTTTAATGAGCAAAGCGCTGAGAATCCGCTTGCTATGAGCGCTAAACGTTATTTTGCCACTTCCGTGCGGAGCGGTAGGCAAACACATTTCAAACACGGAACAGAGTCTGATTACCGAACCGAGCAGAATTCTGATGAGTCCACACCTGTGCGCAAAGGGGCGGGTTCCAACCCACAGGAGAGGAGGGAGAGAGGAGGTAAACAGCGAGTGGATCACAGGGACTGAACTGATTTTTTGAGCAAAACTGTGGTAAAAATGGCTGTTTGTCCTCAATATTTAAAATGTACACCCACACCCCCCACGGTTTAGACGCGGTGCTCATGCAGGTGTCTCTTTCTGTTCCGACGCTGCTACACGTAATATTTTTAATTTATTAAGCCTACAATTTATTTTTACTCAGTAACGGACATTATTTAAAATGTAGCGAATTACAATTCTGTAAACGTACTCAAGTAAAAGTAAAAGTACAGATTTTAAAAACGACTTAAAAAGTATAAATATGCAAAATAGCTACTCAATTACAGTAACATGAGTAAATGTAATTCGTTACTTTCCACCTCTGCTAAATAGAGAAAAGTTTGGCACCAATTTAAAGAGAGCATGTAGGTGGGATGAAAGTTTATGAAAACCAATTATATTTTGTATAAAAGTATGTGTTATTATATGTTTGTCATGAAATAAAACACATTCTCTCATTAAAATAAAGAAAAGTCACAGAGATACAGTTAAAAATAGATTTAAAGGTGTTTTTTTTTTACTAACTGTGTTTATCTAAGAGAGGAGCTAAGAGAAGTGAAAGTGCTTCATGTTAAATCTGCACGTTCACATCTGTGAGGTGAACTGTGGGAGCATAAAACTCATTAAATGTTAACAGATGTATATTTTAACACATTGCTTCTTTTATTGTGCAGTTAAAAGTTTTTACAAGCTTTAAAAAGGATTGAAGATGTGCCATTGATCCCCCACCCCACCCCTCACCTCTCCCCCCCAAAAAAATCCCCATTTATCCCATATATCCCACACTCTCTCAGTCTTGTTTCATATCTTCAAAACATTTGGGTCTTTTTTTACTTCCAATATCCAGACATCTAAGCTTTAAATTCCAGAATGTTGTACATGCTAATAAAACGTGTGCATCAGCTGTTAGTGACGACGAGGATGTTTGTTCAGGGAGGATGAGAGGAGAAGCGGTTTTCTGGCTCTTGCTGAGGGAGGGAAGCAGTAATTGGAAAAGTCAGGGTGTTCCAGCTTCCTTTGGAGAAGAGAGCAGGAAGGACAGAGTCTCTCTGTGAGACGCGTTCAGCACCGTCAGCAGATCTGAGTCTTTCTAATGATCTAATGGAATAATCTCACCTCCACTCCACAGACAGGTTAACCCCTAGCTCTCCTACAAACACTGACATGATACACTTTGTCTGAGTAGCTACTTCCTCTTCCTCTGTAGCTCTCATCAGCTCTGCTGTTTGATGCCGTGTACACGGTGGTTGCAGCGGTTCAGGAGTTGAACCGCAGCCAGAATGTTGGAGCCACTCAGCTCTCCTGCAAGTCCTCCAAGATCTGGCTGCACAACAGGAATAAAATGTGGATGTCTTTATGGAGGTTTATCTAAATATACACTTGAAATTCTTAATGTAGCAATCTAAAGTAGCTAGTAGTTCTTTTATTTTTGCTGTAATTATTAAACTCTTGTTCAAATTAAACCGTTATTTATTTTCAAAGAGCTTCGGATCACATGACTTTTCTGGAATGAAGCAGGCAGGATATTACAAGTAAATCTTTTACCTTTCTGCTTTTTTCGGTTAAATAGGTAGAGTTGGAAGGTCTTATGCCACTTAAGCTGTCTGCCTGGATGTGGAGATTCATAACACCATTGTGCATTGGCGCAAGGGCTCTCTGGCTGGCTCACAGACAGTGACGGAGTCATGCCCAAAATTTTAAAACATCCGTCGAAAGTGACGAAGACTACAAGCTTGTGATTGGTCAGGACGCTTCTTCCTGTAAATTCATCACAAGCACCACCGTTTCCCCATTAAAAACACATCATGGAAAAAGTCCAAAATTATGAACATTTATTCACCCGTGGCTGAAACAGTACAACAAAACGGAGCAAACATGAACAGAAATGATGGGAAATGCGGGTTTAGAGGTGGCAACCACATGAAGATGCAGAGGGGAATGAAGGACAAATTTGTCTGTGTCATAAAGTCTTTGAAATATGTAAACACACACACACATACAGTATATACACACAAACACTCTGCTGCCTGCACTAAAGTCCATGTGTAAAATAATTTCCACCACTCTGTGTGCATCTCTGTTGCAGAGCTCACAGAGAAAGAGAAATCAGGCTTTACAAATTAGCATCGGCTCCACTCCGCCCGCCCAGCCTGGCCATGTTCATTCCACACTGCCTTAGGAATGCGAACGTGATTGAGCACAGGGGCGGTCTGTGGCCTGTGATGTCATGAGCACATCCCCGGGCATATGGGCGGGGCAAAAGAGCGCAGAGAAGTCCGTGTTGTCTCCACTGTTAAACAAAAACGGCCTGAGCAGTCATGCTTTTAGAGACTCTGACTCTGATTTTGTATCCTGGTGTGTGTGTGTGTGTGTGTGTGTGTGTGTGTGTGTGTGTGTGTGTGTGTGTGTGTGTGTGTGTGAGGGACAGTCAAGTGTGTGTGTGTGTGTGTGTGTGTGTGTGTGTGTGTGTGTGTGTGTGTGTGTGTGTGTGTGTGTGTGTGTGTGTGAGGGACAGTCAAGTGTGTGTGTGTGTGTGTGTGTGTGTGTGTGTGTGTGTGTGTGTGTGTGTGTGTGTGTGTGTGTGTGTGTGTGTGTGTGTGTGTGTGTGTGTGTGAGGGACAGTCAACTCGTTAACTAGGATTCAGAATGATAATGAATCGCGCATGCGGGAAGCCCCCACTGGCTGATTCTATCTGCCAATCAGAGGTTCCCTCTAATGGTACGCGTGACTTTGAGCTGGCCTATCAGCCAGCAGTGGGTGTCAGCCCTGCTCGGCTCCAGGCTGACCGCCTCGGGAAAAGGGCTGAAAAGCGTGGGAAAACCCAAGTGAGAACACTCTCAACCAGATGGAGTGGAGCCGATGCTAGTGTGTAAGTTCCATGACAGGCCACATTGAGTTCAACAGCAAAGGTCAAAGGTCAAACCATGCCCTGAGGATCATGCAGAATAGCAGAGATGGTCTGAGGCAGGTAAAGTAACTCTATAAACAGAATGCTTCAGTCCTCACAGCAGCGTTTAGACACAGCTGGAAGAGTTCTGATTCAGTTGGTTTTGTGTTTCTGAGGAAACCAGCTCAGAGTTTTTAACATCTCTATAGTGGTTTTAACACCTGATGACACACAGTTGTACATCTCCATGTCTCCTGATGATGCACAGCCAACTTTTTAACTGCAGTTTAGACATCAAATCCTGGATGGCAGAAAACTTTCTCCAGCTCAACCAGAGCAAAACTGAAGTTTTAGTCATCGGTCCTGAGGCCCAGAGAGAAAAACTTTTACCAAAAATAAAATCAATGTCTTAATCCTTCTGAACAAGTGAAGAACCTGGGTGTGACTTTTGACTCTGAGCTGACTTTTATCGCACACATAAAAACATTACTAAAATAGGTTTTTATCATTTAAAGAATATCGCCAGAGTCCGCTCCATTCTCTCTCGGGCCAGTACTGAGATGCTGATGCATGCTTTTATCACCAGTAGAATAGACTACTGTAATGCCCTGCTTTCTGGTCTTCCCAAAAAGAGCATCTCAGGTTTACAACTTTTGCTAAACTCAGCAGCACGTGCCCTGATGAAGACCAGGGGGTGGGAGCACATTACACTGGTTTTAGAATTGCTGCATTGACTCCCTGTATGTTTCAGGATCAATTTTAAGGTTCTCTCAATGGTTTTTAAGCGTCTTAATGGTCTTGGGCCTTCTTATCTTTCGGAACTGCTTTTACCACATGAACCCTCGCGACCTCTGCACTCCTCTGGCAGCCGTCTCCTTGTGATTCCAAAAGTCAGGTCACATACCCGTGGCGAGGCATGCTTCCAATTTAATGGCCCTCGTCTCTGGAACAGGCTGCCAGAGGACCTCAGGGTCATAGAGAATGTTCATGTTTTTAAGAGCAGGCTTAAGACTCACCTTTTTACCATAGCTTTTAATTGGTATCTGTGTTTAGCTGCATTGCTTGTTTTATTTTTATTTTACTATTTATATTTTAATTTTATTAGGCATTAATGTCTTAGTGTTTTACTATCTTTTAATCAGTTTTTTAGTGATTTTACGATCCGTATTAGCTCTTATTATTTTTATGTTACTTATTTGTTCGTGCCAGTGTTTTCCTCTGTGGGGCCCTCTGCCTCAGGGGTGGTGGTCGACTGTGGTGGCCTGGGTGCACCTCGGGGAGTGCTTAGGTGGTGGTGGGGGTTTTTGCCCTCCCTCCCTGGTAGCCCTGGGCTGGTGCCTTTGCTGCTGCCATTGATCAACTACTACCGAGGCAGATGGCTCACCTGATGGCATGTCATTCCTTACTTAACCCATCTGAACTCGGCCTAGTGTTTTCTTATGATATTTTATGTATTTATATATATATATATATATATATATATATATATATATATATATATATATATTTTTTTTTTTTTTTTTATTTATTTATTTATTTGTTTATTTATTTATTTATTTTTTGTGTGCTTGTGTGTGTGTGTGTGTGTGTGTGTGTGTGTGTTCCTTGGGAAATTGGTTGTGGGATTTTGGGGGGGTGCAACTGTCATAATTATTTTATAGTTTTGGGGAAATGATGGGATTATCGTCAGGATCCAGCAGGTGAAGCTGTTCCTCTCCTTTCCCAGGTGCTGAGTGGTCCCAGCTGGAGCCAATTACCCCATCAAGGCAGCAGTATTTAGGAAGAGCGGATTCACCAGATGGATGTCAGCTGATTCTGTTTATGGAGTGGTAAACTGACCACATGCTCTCTAGTTATGCTTCCCTTTGTGCCAAGTACTTACCTCTCTGTTGCTCGCAGCAACCTTAACTGCGTCTTTGAAGACCCAGGAAGTTCCTCGTCAGTTCATACATTCAAGTTCTCTTCTCCACGTCTTCATTGGATTGGCCGTCCGTCTCCCCGGGTATGGCCACTCCTCTCTCCACCCCTACAGTTGCCCCAGCACTGGATTCTGCCAAGCCGCTCAGCTCTCCTGTGGAAAGAAAACACTGCGCAGCTCACACAACCTTCAACCATCCTGAATACTCACCTCTCTCAGCACCAGTCCCTCCGCCGCTCCAGTGAGATATCGATTCCAGTTAATCCTGCTAAAGAACGTTCAGTTCGCTTCTAAACATACTTACCATACCTACCTTTTCCAGTGATTATCCTCCTCGAATCCTCACTTCCTCTTGATCTCTCAATTCCAATGGTCCAGAAGAAAATAAACTGTTTTAAGAAAATCTTGTATCTGAGTCAGAGTGTGCTGTGTCTGCTTAACTCATTCACTGCCAGCCATTTCCTGATCGCTAAAGGCCTTCGCTGCCAGCGTTTCTCCATTTTTACAGTTTTTTTTAAATAGTCACAGAATGTTGCGTGCTAGGATGATGTTGACAGCAAAACAAAGCGGAGACTCCAGACTCCTTACTTCAGGAGGAATCACCATGTTTCGAGCTTTATCCGTTCTTTCATAATCCATTGTCAAATTGTGATTGGCAGACGCTTTTCCGGTTCGTGCCTCCACTTTGTTTTGTTTTTTTTGTTTTTTTACAGGAATGGCCCAAAACGATCTCCTAACACATGGATTTTCTGCTTCCTGATGTGACGTGACGTATTCAGATGAAGATCGGCTTCAGAGCTGAGATGTTCTCTCGGTGCGGGGGCTCGTTCCGATGCCCAAAACAGTAAAAGAAAAATGCAAATGACAACTTTAGTCGTCATTGGTAGTGAATGAGTTAAGAGTCACTCATGGGATCATGACAATTATGGGTTATATGGGGTAATTTTAACCTGCAAAGCACTTTGAGGTGTATTTTTTGTATATGAAAAGTGCTATACAAATAAAGTTTGACTGAACATCTAAGTGTTCCTGATCCGACTCGGTCCACCTCCCGAATGGAAACTACTTTGGGCCAATGTAGCAGTTTCTTTATGGCAGTGGGTCCAGTTAGCTGCATCGTACCACAGGGAGCTGTGATCGCACACATCAGCTGGTTTTTCTTGGTGCAAACTATCTCCATTATCTAACAGGCAGAAGAGCTGATGCACCAGAGGAAGGGTTTAAAAATTCAAAAGGGCTCTCTTGAGGGTGAAAGAAACTTGCTTTACTGGGAAAATAACTTTAAAGAAAAATTTGATTTAGAACTGCAATTCTTTCATTTTCTTTGGTTTAACAGATTTCTGTAAAATATCAGGCTGACTTGTTATTTACTGTAAATATTCTGCATAAATCACCAGAATTATCAGCACATTTACTCTGAATCTCCTCCTAAAAACAAGTCTGTGAAGGTAAATCATGTTTAAATCGGAGAGATTCTGGCATAAAGCAGTTTCTTATGCATTCAGTAAATTTACAGTGATAACTGAGTAGAAGTAGTCGGCAATAAAACATTAGTGACAAAAAGCTTTGAGGAGCTGAGAGATTTATCTGATCCAGACTGTAGAGCTGTTTTCATGCTGTGTGCTGCTATTTGGGCTTATTTGTGTTGGTTTGTGCTTTTGACATGAAGTAGTGGCCATCTTTTTAGTCGAAGACAAAAACATTGCTTTAAATCTCCAGCTGGTGATGGAAAATATGTTGAAAAGCGAGGACTCTTCCATCCATCAAGCTCATCTTAAAATACCTCAGTGGAGCCAGAATGCCACCAGCGGTAGAAATCTCTGTTGGGTGTGAGAAATGAGAGAAGGGAGAGGAGAATCTAGAGGTAAACATCAGCACAATGTGACATCAGTGTTGAATAGGTGAGTGATGGGAAACATGTTGTGATAAAGAACGTTTCTGTGGACGGGTCGGCTTTCATGGAGATGCCTGGATTTTAGAATATGGATGAAGACTCTTTCATCTGAGTCAGGACCAGTTTCATGTCCTCTGATGCGATGGGACACATATCAGAACATGTTCCTGGAATATTTAGAAAAATGTATGCAATATGTTGGAATGTGTGTTCATGAATGAATGAATGAATGACTTTATTTCTGCAGATAGAATGAATCCTTTCAGCTTTAGGACTCTGAGCAGTTTTCACACACCTCCACTTCTGGGTTGGGTGGTGCTAATTAAATGTCAGAAGTTTACTCTTCTTTTCCCCTCATCCTCATAAAAGTATCAGGATAAAAAGAAGCTGAGAAATTCTGCAGCAGTTTGTTAGAGATGTTACTGTGATTGAGTTTGTTAGCAGGAAGCAGCTCCTCCTGCTTCCTTTACTTTCTGGCAGACAGGGAGGTTGTTTTTCACTTCGCTCCTCGTCTCATCAACACGCTCAGATGTGTTTGATATTAAAATCATCACAACCAGGAGCCTCGTTTGTTATTCTCAATATGCTATAAAAATGAAACAGGATCATTTCCATATTGTACTTTCTGCATCATGTCCTGCTCCCCTGATGCTCCCCTGAACCCCCTCATTCTCATCTCCAGCTGAAAACATCCTGCTGGGAGGTTCACGTGTAAACAGCAACTGGAGCAGAAGTTAGGAAGTTCACACATTCTGCTCCAAATCTCAGGTGTGTGGTGACAGCAGCAGGAATGACCATGGCTGCAGCTCTCAGCTACATTTCTCTGTCGCTCTGACTTTCTGTCTGTGCAGCATTTTGTACAGCTTGGAGGATTTCATCCATCTACAACAAAGTGTCTCCACCCACTACAGCAGAGAGCTGATGTGTTTTCTCAGCTCATGTTTCATCATTCTCATGTGTTTTCTCATCTGCAGAATGTGTTGCTCTTGTGTGTTTTTGACTTGCCTCTTTCTCGCACTCCTTTCTATGTTCTATTGTTCGTGTGTTGAGTTGGCGTTCGGTTTCTCCTATGTATGTTTTATTGCAGAGTTTGCATGGGATTTCGTAAATGACTCCACATTTAAGTCCAGCTAATATTTTGTCTTTTGGGTGCACTAGTCTGTTTCAAGAGCAGCAAAAGAAGAAGCAGAAAGCACAATAAAGAAGTCAGCCGTAACAGATCACTGCATAAGAGAAAACCATATAATGGACTGGGACAATACAAGGATCATAAACATTGATCAACAAAAATACAAGAGATGGATTAAAGAAGCAATCGAGTGTGGTTCTTTTCCCTTATCAAAAACAAGAAAGAGACAGGTTTTGTCCAAACTCAGCGGGGGGCATTTATTTACACAACTCATCCATACATCACCAACACTTCACAGGGGACAGCGTCCAGCTTCGGTCTAACCACCTCGGCTGGAGATCCTTCTGCAAAAGCCCACTCTCCTACACCACGCAGCATCAGTTATACTATTCAACCCCCACCTCCCTTTTGATTCTGAGAAATGATGGGGTGCTACTTCCACATCCTAATATGGTCAAAAGTAGTTGAAACTTACATAAGCTGGGCAGATCAACATGTTTTTGGAGCATGTACTCAGCAGCTGGGCTGCCTGATAACCGGCTGGCATTGATAAGCAACATGTCAACATGCAGTACACAAAACACTGCTTTTAGCTCCTACAGATCCCCCCCATGGGGGTGTCCACCCCCATTAATAAGCTGGCTACATAACATATAACTTAACACATAAGTGAACGTTAACATAAACCAGTAAATGGGTGTCGAATGGCAAAATGACAAATACACTACAAACTTCAACCAAACTATATAGGCATATATGTAACGACGAAGTAACTGCAAACCAACACTTGGATGAGTACACAAAGTAAGTATCAGCTTCAAAACACAATATGGAATGTGACGTCTTTAACCAGCTCAGTCACATCAAAATGCATGCGCAAACTGTAAGGGGGCGAAAACCTGTCCGCTGTTCTTAACAGGAAAAATTCCCCCTTGACCTCCTGGCCCCAAAACAGGACGGTCACATAAAGCACAGAGTGAGCATGCAAGCCTAGCCTAAGTATATGGCAGACATTAGGTAACAGTGAATTAACAAAAGAACGCACGTAAGAGAAAACAAACTGATGAAACCTTCCAACAGAGAACAAAATCATAAGCATGATCGAGCATTAATTACCCTTAGCAATATTGCAACCAGTAACTGTACGTGAATATGCAATCAAAAATACAAACTCATGTGAAATAAATGATTGACGTGGATACTAATGAACGACTAGATGATGTCGCTGTGACTAAACCTATAAAAGTTAAACACAACAGGAGGTGTAATGAATATACTCAACGTAACAACACAACTGCTCAACTGAAATAGAGAACGGAGTCAGAGTCCCAGCTGCAGAACTGAAAAAGAAATGGAGTGAAGAAAACATAAGAGTCAAGTTCAGTTTTATTAATGACTGCTGCAGGGGTCTTGCCGCTGGAAGAGGACTTTGAGGCCGATTCCTTAGTCGAGTGCATGTAACCACAACAGCAACATCTATGATGAGACGCAAAGATTACTCCGCCGTTGTCCCATCAGCCGTCCCATTCTTCAGGCACATTGGGTGTCGTGCTGAGTCCATTGCGGCCATTTCCATTTGCACATATTGAGACGACGCAGCAAGGTTCATTTGGGCAGCCAGAGTTCGCTCCCACAGTCTCCTCACAACAGGTAGGATGCAACATGCCAATAGAGAAATCAGAATTAGTACTACTATTGCACCAATTCCTGCTTTTACCAAAATAGCTCCCCACTGACCCAATTTGAGGGCTAAGGAGTCTAAGGACCAGCTTTCCCTGCCTGCATTCTCCTTCAGCTCTATCTTTAAATCTTTCAATTTCCTCATGCCTTCAGTAAATGCACCATCAGGGGCCGTATTACTTGGAATGTAGGTGCAACATTCTTGCCCACTGGAGTTCAGAAACTTACAGAGCCCACCTTTCTCGGCCAGCAACCAGTCCAAAGCCTGGTCATGCTGCAAAGTCATTTTGAC